AAGAAATGTGTAGGCTGTGATGAGTAATGGAACCTACTTTTGACTGTTTGCAATACACATTTGCAAAACACATTATCCTTTTAACATTTCCGTTAGGATTGCTCATATCCCATTTTCTGCAAAATGCCTTCCATACCCACTAGGTTCCTGTAATTATCTCTTTGGAAGAAGTTCATCTCAGCTCTTAGAGACATTATCAACTTTAAGCAGTTGATTCCTAATTGTTGTTGGTGGTGGTGTTGCTGTGTTCAGCTATCTCTTGAGAAGGAAGAAACCATACAATTACAAGCTATAGAAGGACACAGATAGCCTGACACCTCATCAGGAAAATGACAGTCATGAGGAAGCAGGGAGAAGTTTGCTCAGATTTCTTCCTTCTTGCTAGTTCCATGAGTCATTGTCTAGACCCACAGTGGTAAAGGGAGCCACACTTCCTGGGTTCTAATCCTGCTTCTGACATTTTCAAGCTGTCGGGCCTTGGGGAAATTGCTTAAACATCCTGAGCTTCAGTTTCTTCCTCTGAACAACTGGACAACAGTACCTGGTTCATAGAGTTGTTAAGAAGATTAAAGAGATTAACATGTATAAGGGGCTTAATTATGGGCATGTCTTAGGGTACAGCAGTAAATGTTTGTGATAGTGGCTAGGATGTTTAGGCCAGAAGAACAACAGCCTGGAACTGTTGTCACTTTCTCACTCTGGAATCACCTGGATTTCTTCTGTAACAGGGAACTGTGCAGTCCCATATCCTGCAGAGTATTAGAAATCAGCACAGTAATGAGTCTGTGTTGTTCTATTTTTTCCTGATTGCAATGGGATGCCATTGAGGTGGTTATCAGCAGGGAGCTAAGGGGCCAGATTAGCATTTGATAAGAGACTATCCCAACTACTCTCCAGGAATAGACTGGGCAAAGGTGATATTAAGAAACAAACTCATTAGGAAGTGCAGTAGGTGAGACAGGATGGGGCACTTCCGTGGGGGCGGTGGAGAGGACACGGAGCAAAATGGACTTAACCTGCAAATTATAGGCAGATGGTACAGGACTCGACTACAGAGTGGGGGATGTGAAGGAAAATTCCTGGTTTCTGAACAACTAAATAGGAAAGTACTTCATTGAAATGTGTAGGTACCCATGTACCCTCTGGAACGGCAGCAAAGGGAGTCAAAAAAGAACAACAGAAATGTAGGTAAAGTAAGAGGAAAGGAGGAACAAAAGAAGCTCATACTCTTGGGGGACTTAAAGGTGCATGGGGTGTAGCTAGGTGGCACTGTAGGCTGTGGGAGCCGCATAATCAAGGTTGGCAGCAGAACCTGCTGTCATATGGCAGAAACATCGTGCTCGTCACCTGTGCTCAGGAACAGTATCACCTCGAGTTGTTGCTTGGCCGTGTTATGCGGGGGTGGCCTTGCCATCCCCAGTACATGATGATGTCCTACGGCATCAACATGACTTTTTATATCTCCAAGTATATGCAGCTCAACTCCATGCATGTAACCAAATACTTCTTGAGTTCAGAGAGCTGTCAAGCAAAAACACAAAGCATTTTCTCACCACCAGCAGTTCTGAGACCCTGAGCTAAGTGTTGGGAATATAGATGAATGAGAAATAGCCATGATCTTAAGGTCAGGGATCTTCTCTGGTCACTTTATGTGTCCCTTCCCCTTCTCTTTCTCCTCCCACTTCTCTTACTCTGTCTTTTCCTCTTCTCACCTCCCCACTATCTCCTCCCTCCCTTTCTCTTCTACTTGTACCTCCTTTTTCCAACTGTGTCTCTTTCTCTGTATCTCCTACACACACACACATACACACACACATACACACTCCTTATGCTGCCCCTAAAATGAGGTCCACATCCTGGAGACAATACTGATACTTTTTGCAGATGGGAACCAGGTCTGCTCAACACATCTCTTATCCTCTTTAGATCAACAGGCTAACCATGGCATGTCCTCCTGTGGGTGACAGTTAAGTGATCAAAAGCCAGCCCAGCTCTGCAAACAGATTAAAAAACTGTCTGTACCACATCTACTAGCATCCCATCAGCCTGAGCAAGTGACAAGGCACAGGCACCCACAACCTGCCTCCATTGAGAGAAGCTGCAAAATGACTTGGCGTAAGGAGGGGTATAGGAGTGTGGCTACGTTGGAAAAAATTTTCCATTCTCAGGAGCCAGTGCTGTGGTGTAAAAGGCTAAGCCTCTACCTATAGTGCTGGCATCCCATATGCGCATCCATTTGGGTCCTAGCTGCTCTACTTTTAATCCAGCTCTCAGCCCAGCTCTGGACATCGTGTCCATTTGGGGAATGAACCAGCAGATAGAAGATCTTTCTGTCTCTCCCTCTGTCTGTAATTCTACCTCTCAAATAAATAAGCAGATAATAATAATAATTAAATCTCTCCCATTCTCTAGGCTTCCTCATCTCTTGAATAGGGAGCTCGGATCAGATCTGTTTTGCATAATATGAGATACATCCCTTCAGTAGCACAAAAATGATTTTGGGTAATACACGAAATTTAGTTGAGTTCTTGGAATGTGGCATAAAACACATAAAGGAAAGTAAGCACACAGAATAATGATAATGCAGATTTGATACAGCCTTTAGTATTTCCAGCATATCCAGAACATCTCAATTAGTGCCGGGTTAGTAGCTTTAATAAGACCCTAATCTTCACTGGTTTCTCATTTTAACAAGGAACTGCAGGCCTCAGGTTCAGACCCTTCTGTGGGCCACAGTGCTTAACTATAATTTCAAAAGATTATTTTATTCTTCATTTTTTTAAACCACACTAGATATATAGTAAGTATTAAAAATAAATATTAGGTAAATTATTGATGGCATGCAGAAAGCAAAGCAATCATGATTATGAGCCTTAAACAAGTGAAATGTGAGAAATTATTTATTAGATGATCTTGATGGTACTGAGATCCTGTCACTGCTGGTGACGTCATAGGTCCAGCTGTGGTCTCCACCTCCACCCCAGGGCTTTCCCCAGAGGAAGATGAATAGTGAGGGGGACCATCTCCCCTTCTGAAGGTCTGTAAGACCTACCATTCCCACCCCAACAATAGATGTGAGTGGCTAGCTGCCAACAGGGCTGCTCAGCCAGATGCATCTGACTGACGTGCGCATCCCTACACAATGGACCAGAGTCAGTCAACCCAGGGCTATCCCTGCCCTTGGCATTGTGACACATGGGCCCAGATTCCAAATGTCATGTCACATCTCCTCATGCCATCAAAGCACCCTTGAGAAGAGGAAACACTAACAGATGGCTGACATGCTTCAGAAAGACTCCCCTCGACAGCCCCAGAGATGCAGAGCCCTGTTGGTGGTGATGGTTCACAGCATATGCTCTGCAAAATCTGCCGAAGGGAAGAGTGCTTCCTGTACCCACACCGTGCCCACAGCACACTGACGCCAATGCTGGCTATCAGCCGCCTTAGACAGGCTGCCATTTGCTTTTGCAAAATATCTGCTAAGTCTCTGATCTCTAGTTTTGTTTCTCTGGACTTTTAATATCCCTAAAAGGCAGTGACAGAAAACGTATATTTATATTTGGTATTTCATTAACCAGCAAATGAATGGGGGGGAAAATGCATGCTCTCACAACAGAACTGCTGATTGTTTTGACCTAGGAATTCCTAACCTGCATTTCTGAATTCTTAAAAAAAAAAAAAAAAAACAAAACAAAACAAAAAAAAAAACCATGGCTGATCTTAAAGAGACATATTAGTCTTCTAAAATTACCTGCAAAGGAATGTGTGTGTGTGTGTATAGATTTATCCGGATAAAGAATCTAAAACTAGAGCTCAGATTCTCAAAAATAGCTCATGTCTTACCATAAGTCACTGTTCTTACATTGCTTCATAGAAAGAACACATGAGGCAGAAAAATGTCTGAACGAAACAAAACTGGGAGGTAATGCAAGGTAACAATGTATTCCCCACCACCACCAAAGGAACATTAAGAAAAACACGTGCCATTTATCTTCACTGTAATTTCAAAAAGAAGGCTGTTTTGGTACAGCAAGACATGAAAAAAACGTAGCAAGGCCATAAACTCAGATTAAAAACATAAATTTAGCTTTATTAAAAAAATCACTACATTGTCCATTTTTGTTTCATTTCTGTGAGAACTAGTGACCAGTGCCAGGATCTGGGAGCCACAGTTCTCAGGGTAGAAATTCCTGCTCACCTTGCAAATCATTGGGAAACCATGACCATCTCTGGGATTTTCCAGAGCCTACACCATCCAGAGAAAATTCCTTTATCACTGATCCCACTGTGCTGTGACAACTGCACCACACCCCAGGCAAGGAGGGCAGATTCAGGGCCATAACTTACTCCAACAGCTCTTGCCTCTACCCTCACCCCTCCTGGGGCCAGGCTGAGGAGAAAGGCTCTGACCCTTTCCCAAGGGGCTTACATTGTAGAGGAAAGCATGATGGAAATGGGGTACGTGGGCTCACATCCACTCCACTGCTCCCTCCCCCAGTGCTAAATGAGCAAAAGATCACGTTGTCTAGGATGCATCACACAACCCATGTTTCTGGTCAATGAGAGAGCTCCAAATGGGACTGTATAACTAACTGAATTCTCCTCTGAAAAGGAATTTAAAAGGCCTTTTCCTTTTTAAAGTCTGTAACAAAGAATACAGGATCCCGGGTTTTAAAAATGGACACTTAGAAGAAGAGGAGGCTTGGGCAGGTGTTTGGTGGAGCAGACTGAGTCACCACTTGAGATGCCTGCATCCAACTTGGGTGCCTAGTTTGAGTCCCAGCAACTCCATTTTGGACCCAGTTTCCTGTTAATGTACACCTTGGAAAGCAGCGGATGATGACTCAAGTACTTGGGTCCCTGCTACCCATGTGGAAGACCCTAGTAGAGTTGCAGACTCTGATTTGGTCTGGCCCAGCCCTGGCCATTGCAGGCATTTGGGAAGTGGACCAGTGCATGGAAGATCTCTGTCTGTCTATGTTTCTCTGCCTTTCAAATCAATCAATCAATCAATCAATCAATAAATAAAATTTTAAAAAGAAAGGAGAACAGGCTACCTCCTGTGTAGCTATGCAGCCAGTACTTCAGCAGACCCCACTGGAGGGACTCAGGCCTCTTTAGCACTCAATGGTGTACCTACTAATGTCATAACTTCACAGACTTTAGCACAAAGAGCCCAGAGAAAGTGACCAGCACCAGGACGCATACTGGAAAACAGCAATGTGAGACAAGGGGAGGCAATCAGCAGAACCCGGGGGAGAGACACAGATCACACTAACAGAAACGGCTCTCCTAACCACAGGGGCCAAATGGAGGAGGGTGGGGGATTCTGAGTTGCTTTCAGAATCCTCAGTATGACAATGCACAGTTACCATCAGCTTCATTCTTGAGTGCATGTTCAGTTTCTGTGTAACGTCTTTGTTGATTCCATAAATCCCTGAGTTAAAAGAACCTCTATTTTTGTATAGTAAAATCTTAATTAAGTAGATTCTGCCAGATAACTACAAATAGCAGCCATTTATTGTGCAAGTAAATAGGTAAGTAGCAGTAAACACTCTTAAGACTATCACAATTTGTTGCCCAACATGTTCAATAATGATATTCTGCTTTCAGCTGGGAAGTCAAAGCACAGAGAAGTTAATTACCTTGGCCAAGGGCAGAAAAACAGTCATGGGTACCTGGGATTTCACTAACTGATCTAAGAACTCAAAGAAAGCCAACAATCTCAGATTACTAAGAAGAAATCACTCTCAGTTCCAGAGAGACCAGGAATATAGGTCTTAGTTGTCATTCTACTACTCAGTTCTGAGCTTTTTAACTCTTTTTATAAAAAACAAAAGTTACTTATTTTTATTTCATTTCCAAGAGAGAGAGAGAGAGAGAGAGAGAGAGATTGTGAATGTGTGTGCATGTGTGTGTGTGTGTGTGAGAGAGAGAGAGAGAGCGAGTACGCGATTTCTTCCATCTACTGGTTCATTCTCCCAAATGCCTGTAACAGCTAGGGCTGGGCCAGGCCAAATCCAGGACCCAAGAATTTCATCTAGTCTCCCACTTAATGTGGCAGGTATGGAAGTGCGTGACCCATCATCTGTTGCCTTTTAGGGTGTGCAACAGAAGAAATCTGGAATCACAACACAGCTGGCATTCAAACCCAGACATTCCAATAATGTGATGCCAGTATCCCAAGCAACACCTTAATCCGTATGCCAAATACATATCCCCAAAGAAATTTTGATCAGAGAAAGGGAGGAGAAAGGGAGAATTTTTTTCCCTGGGATTACAGACCTTTAGCACACTCTATTTTCTTGTTAAGTGAAGCCTTAGGGACACACTCCTGGTAAATACATAAAGGGGATTCTGGAGCTGTCATCTTAGGCAGAGGACCATAAGCAGCCTAGAAACTGGTCCATTTTATTTCCTGGAGCAAGATCTGTGACTCCAATATTTCAAGCTGCAGATGACAACTTTAATACCATTCCCAAGTTCAAAGGTTTCACTTTCTTATTTGCTGCGTCTCAAGCAGTGGGCCTTTGAGCTTTGGTCTTGTAGGGACAAGACTCAGGCCTCTGAGGGGTGTGAAAACAGATTCCATTTCCACTGTGATGACAGCCTCATGTGAAAGCACATCCAAGGGTAAATCAATTTTCTCTTAAACTCTCTCCAATCACACTTTGCCCCTCCACCACACGGAAGCAGCATTCATCAAGGTCACCGGTGACCTCAATGTTGCTCAGTGCAATGGTCAGTCCTCATCCTTACTGCCAGCATCACACAGCCCAGTGGGCAGCTCTCCTCCATGAAGCACATCCCTCACGGGACTTCCAGAACTCTCTGCTCTCTTGGCTTTCATTTTTCCTCGGCTGTTCCTTCTCAGTCTCATTTGCTGAATCCTCCCATCTCCCCAACCTCTGAACACTGGACTCTCTCAAGTCTTCATCCTCAAGCATTGTCCCTTCTCTACCAAGACTCACTCCTTGGGTGACATCACTTAGACACTTAGCTTTCTGGCTTGAATAACATCCATAGGGTGCCAATTCCCAAATGCAGTCACCTCTGTCTTCAAAATATAGTCCAACCACTTCTCATCACCTCTCACCCCACCCCCACTGTCTCCTGCCTGCAGTGCTGCGGTCATTACCCAATGTCCTCCCCTGTGACCAATCTTGTTTACCTACAGCTGATTTTTCACCCAGCAGGCAAAGCAGTTTTGCAAAACCAAAAGGCAGAGAAGGCTATTCTTCCATTCCTTGCCCAGACCTCCACCACTGTCTCTTAACTCAGAGTCTCCACTAACTTCTCATGCATAATTTAATTTCTCTGTTTCCAGCCCAACCTGCTTTCCTAGGCATGCTGGTCTGCCCCTGTTCCTCAGACAGGCCATGCACAGTTGAACTTCAAGGCTTTCATTCTTGCTGTTTCCACTGCTTTGGTACTTCTGACTCCTGCGTGCTTACTCCTTTGCTTCCTTCTGTTTGCTGTTTGAGCCGTTTCTCCTCTCAGCACTTATGACATCAAATATGTGGCTATTTGCCTCATACCAACTGATGCACTAGCCATTCAGACCCCAACCAGGTGTCCTACAATTCAATTCAGTTTATACACCAACTACCTGGAATTAAGATCAGAGTTCACAGGTTCCATGGCTCAGTCTTGTAAGACTGCCCCTCACTTCAGATGCCAGTCATAAGCTATCAAATCCCCAGGTTAAGCACACTGTGCCCAATGTTGATGTATATCTGGAATTCTCACGCCAGCTTCTCAAGTTCCATAATTTCCCATGGAACTCAGAAAGGCACCAGATTGATTGCTACAAGTTTATTTTTAAGGATACTACTTAGAACAGTCAAATGGAAGAAGATATAAGGGCACGGTTTGGGGAGGGGCCTGGATCTCCCACGTCCTCTCGGACTGCCCGTTGGGCATTGCCTAAAATCTCCATTACAATATGGCGCCTGGCCGATGTTCGAGGGGCATGTCTGCGGCTGCTGCGGTTAAGCTAAGTAAGATCAGACCACCAGCAGGGATAGGTCCACTTTAGTTCCGGGCACGTGGACAGTGCGTGATCCCTATACTTTACTTAAGGTGCCCCTGTGCGTGGCCCACCCGTGCCTGCGTGACTTTTTCTCTGATTGGCTCCCCTACTGTGCATGTCCTTCATAAGCTTTATAATAAAGCTTCCTCAATAAAGCAGTTCCTGCTTTGACAGAACTCACGGGTGTTGTAGTGTGTTCATCACCTGTCGACCTTACTTCTCCTGTTCGCCTTGTTGGGGAGGGTCTGTACTGGCCCCTGCTGGCCAGGGGCCAGCCTCGGACTTGAGACCCCGACAAGTGCCGCTCAATGTGTTCACCAGTCCAGAAGCTCCCCTAACTCCATCACTTGGAGGGCTTCACAGAGGATTACCCAGGTGTGATGGATTAAATCACTGGTCATTGGTGACTGACTCAGGTGACTCCTCTTCAGAGGCGGAAGGCTGTGCTAAATGTTGTAACCTTCTGGTCATATGACTGTGACCTTGCTAAAGCTTACTAAAGCTGTCTGCATGTTCATCAATAGCATAAATCAGATACAGTTGAAAGAGGTATTCTATGAATAGTGGAAGATGCTATTTTCACTTCTGTCAGGAAATTCTAAGGATTTTAGGAACTCTATGTTAGGAATAAAGATAAGGGTCAAATATGTATTTCTTATTACACCACCTGTTCAACTGTCATCTTGTCAACAGGCTTCCTTTGATCACTCTGTGTACCACAGAAACTCACCCCTCCTCGCACCATGTCACTTATCTGTATAGCAGTTAATCATCACTGGACACTGCATAAACTTACTCTTCTACTGTCCCACCTACTAGAATGCAAAGTCTGTAATAACTGGGATTTTGCCCATGTTACTGATGGCTTTTTCTCCAACACCCCCAAAAGTAACCAGCGTAGAATAGCTAGCCAATAAATAGTTATTGAATGAAAGAATCAAATGAGCGAGTCTTGTTCAAGATTCACAATTGAATTCAAACAGTAAAGCATCTGAGGCCAGTGTGGAGGACAGAAGTTCTCATTTTCCCCATCTGACTGCCTAACGTCAATATCCTACGCTCTCAGAAAGATTCAGATCCTTACACAAACATTAAAAACAAATCATGTCATACCTTATGTAATAAGGTATAGTGAGTGCATGAAAGTCTAGCTGCAAAACCCAGCCTCCCTGGATTCAGATCTCAGGTTTATTGTTTATTGTGTGCTGTTGGGCAAGCAGCTTAATGTCTCTGCATCTCAGATTCCCTTTCTACAAAATGGTGATAGTATCTGCCTCGTGAAGCTGCTGTAAAGAAGATGTTTCATACTTAAGGTACTTAGGAAATGACCTGGGATATGGCAAGATTGAAGTGTTAGTTGTTATTATTCTAAGGGCACAGTCTACAAATAACATGCTACAGCATGCTTTTTTATTCCCCAAGAAGCTTTTGCAGGTGGATCTACCTATATACCTATATAGTTAGCCCTCTATATCCATGGGTTCCGCATCCAAAAATTCAACCAACCGTGGATCAAAAATATTTGGAAAAACACTATGTTGGTACTGAATATATACAGACTGTTTTTCTTGTCATCATTCTCTAAATAACAGTATAACAACTGTTAGCACAGCATTTGCATTGAATTAGGTATTATAAGTAATCTAGAGATGATTTAAAGTATATGGTGGGATGTGTGTAGGTTACATGCAAATATTATACCATTTAATATAAGGGATATCAGCATCTACAGACTCTGGTATCCCTAGGGTCCTGGAACCAGTTCTCCACAGATACCAAGAGGCAACAGTTATTACATAAACATTTATATGTGTGCACACAGTCATATATATAGGGCACAGTTTGTTAGGTGGGTATAGAGGCATGCCTGTAATATATATTATTTAAAACCCATATTCAATCTCATTTTTTTCTGTATCCATTTTCAATTTCTGAAGCAGAACTCTGCATGTCTCCCTTTATTTCCTAGGATAATCCAGTCCACCAAATATTCATGAGGATATAGATTTTACTTGATATAGGGGTCGTGGAAGGGATTCTTTATATCAACTGTCACAACAAAAGAATTTAAACACTCTACTAGGTCATTCTCTTCTCCTGCCCAGTTGCTCTTTGGACAGACCATTGGCTAAGATTCTTTTTAGCACTTTTCCATGCAATTCCTGGCTATTTCCTCCAGGGTGACTTGTTTCCCTTTACCTGGAACCATGTTGCCCTACAGACACCCAACAACCCTCTATATAATGGACCTGTTTTCTTTCTTTAAATTTTTAAAAATATTTTTGATTGAAAGGCAGACAGAAAGAAAAAAAAAAGAGAGAGAGAGAGATCTCCCATCTGCTGCTTCACTTCCCAAATGCCTGCAACATCTGGGGCTGGGCCAAGCCACAGGCAGGATCCTGGAACTTGATCAAGGTTTCCCACATAGGTGGCAGGAACCCAACTATTTTACCCATCACATTCTGTCTCCCCAGGTATGCATTAGTAGAAAGCTGGATCAGAAGGGGAGGCAGGGCTTGAACTTGGGCACTCTGATATGGGATATGGACTTCCTTAACTGCTGAACTGAATGCCTGCCTCTAGCCCCATACTCCACAGAGGCTTCTATAGGGATCTGCATTTTCCTTGTTTATGAGTCATATTTGTATCCTTATATCCTGGACACCCAACAGAGGGGCTGCTGTGTGGCACATGCTCTTCTGCTCTTAAGGGAATGAATGGATGAAAGAATTCTAGATATGAAACCAGCTTCTTTTATGAAATGGGGAACTGATAGCAAAAAACGTCAAAGGGCTGTGGAATGGGCAAGAGACCTCACATTCTCCTGTCCTCTCCTGCCCCAATTTACCAAAAAGGCAAGCCCCAGTAGCCTTTCATGGAACACTTGGAATGATTCTGACCTTTCCTATCCCTTGTGAAGATCAACAACATCTCTTTCAACAGCTGCTTCCTTTGTGTTGTCCCTACTAAGAAAAGCTCCTCAAACACTAAGGGAGCATAGGAATATTCCAAGGAGATTAGATTCTTCACTGGCAGCTGGTTCCAGGAAGCAATTCCTGACAAACATCACTCCATTCCTCACAGCCTCCTTCAGCCCGGGCAGAGCTCAGAGGGAGCTGAGGGACAGGGCCTAAGAAACTGTTCCAGAAAACAAGCCCCATTGGTGAGTGTCTGGGTTGTGCCTCTTCTCTCTGATTATCTCCCCTCCTTTCTGTCCAAGTAAAGAGTCCATCAGTCATAAGAAGAATAGAGGTGAACCATAAACTCCCAAGGGTTCTTGTTTTGGGGGTGTTTTAGGATGGCCTTTCCCTTCCTCATTCATATGGAGAAGTCACAACCTAGGCTTCAAATTGCCTCCTGGAGCCTCCTAGTTCTCTTTCTCCTATGCTGCAAGGCTGATGTTTTGCTGCTTTTTGAGGACTCTCTCTCCCATGTCCTTGTCTCTGCCTTGCCCTTCAGCATATGGGTTACAATCACTGTTCTACAGTTGCAGATCTGATTCCCCCACTGACAAAGAGCTTCTCAAGGGCAGCACTGCATTATGTATGTCCAGTGTACATTCGGTACTCAAAAAATTTGGTTGAATACCCAGACAAAAAAACACTGAATTGAGCTCAGCCAAAGCAGGATCAAGGTCTAGCTCTGATCTGAATACACTTTTACCCCAGGAAAGCCTTGTGCAGTACACAGAATCCCTTTCTTGACCTCACAAGATTGCTGAGATAATTAAATGAGATAATACATTACAAAAGTCTTGGTGAAGATAAAATGCCATTCAAATATGAATAAGTTACCATAATACATTACCCACTTAATTAAGAATAACCCCAGATCAGTCCAGGAACAACATTAATGTACTATCCAATATAAGTTCAATAATAAGATAGTTTAAGCAGGAAAATGGTAAAATGAATTCATTCAGAAATGCAGAAAACTTTTTTTTAGTTGAGAAAATAAGTAAATATTGGCACCATAGTGTTTTATAGAAGGAGACTGAAGTCAAATGCATGCTGGGAGAAGGACCGGAGAGGAAAGAGGGCAGCAAGGGTGTTGGCATGCTCAGATGGTGTGGCAGGAGAAGCAGGCTCTCTTATTTCATTGTCAACACAGATTGAGCACATTACCCATGATCTCATTTAATCAGCACAACCTACAAAGATGGCTACCCTCCCATTTTACAGATGGCAAAACCCAGAAACTTGCAGGATGGAAGTAAGTTGAAGCATGAGACTGTCAACCCCACGCGTCAGGGATGTGGCCTCAACACACATCCCTGGTGTCTGGGGAAATGCATGACACATCGCAATTACCCCAAAGATCTTTTTGTTTTTAGTGAAAGGAGCAAATGTCACACAATCAGTCACGGGCAGACCTGGAATTTAAGACAGGAGCTGCTTTGTACTGAAGTCCACCGGTTCTTCCTACTTCACTACCATCAAATTTACATTAGGACTTTGTAATTTATAAAAGCTACAAGACCAGCAAAATTCAGAAAGTGGTGTGACTGGCCTATATGTGTGAAATAGATTAGTAACCACTGAATAAATACAAGAATTAACACTACATCACAGGTCCTAACAGTCCCCAACAGCAAAGTGCCCTAATTGGCTATTTATGGTGGGAGTGGGCATGGGATGTTAGCAGGTATTCTATTTTCTTCTCATTAACTGCCTGACTTACATGTGTGTTACAGAAAAGTAGTTCCCCCAAAGGGGGTTGACTCCTGTAGTAGATGGGTATATTTTAAAAATCAGCTTACTGATGCATAAATCACATGATATAAAATGAACCAACACTGTGGCACAGCAGGTTAAGCCTCTGTCCCCAGCTTCCAATATACATACCGGTTCTAATCCTGGCTTCTCCACTTCCAATCCAGCTCCCTGCTAGTGTGCCTGGGAAAGCGGCAGAAAGAGATGAGGGCTTGAGTCCCTGCACCCACGTAGAATATCTGGATAAAGTTCCTGGCTCCTGGCTTTGGCCTGGCCCAGCCCTAGGGCCATTGTGGCCATTTGGAGAGTGAACCAGTAAATGAAAGATCTTTGTCTCTTCCCCATTCTCTGTAACTTTGCCTTTCAAATAAATAAATAAACCTTTTAAACAATGAACCTATTCTAAGCATTCTTTTCATTATGTTTTGTCAAATGCTTACACCAGTCAAGACAGAGAATAATTCTATCAATCTCCAAAGATTGTGAATCTCTATCTCCTACCCACAGACAACCAATAATCTTCCTATCATTATAGATTAATTTTCCTTATTCCAGAAATTAACATAAATCTCCTGAGTGTACATACTGTCGGTAATGTATAGTTTTGGTCTCTTGCACTCCCATGCTAATCCTGAGATTCTTCTAAGTATACCTGTGTCAATGCTTCATTCCTCTTTTTATTACTGTTATTCTCTTGTATGGATTTACGACAATTTGGTGCAATTTGCTTGTTGCTATCATTTGATTATGTCCCCCAAAAAGCATGTATTAGAAATTTAAGTCTCAATACAACAATGTCAAGAGAGGTGTCTGGGCCATGAGGGTTGTGAATTCATGAATGGATTAATTCCATTATCATGGGAGTGGGTTCCTATGAAGAAGATGAGTTTGGCTCCCTTTTGCACTTCTTTCTTTCACCCTTTCATGCCCTCCTGCCTTCTGCCACGGGATGAGGCAGCAAGAGGGCCATCATCAGATGCCAACGTGTTGTTCTTGGTCTTCCTAGCCTCTCGAACTGTGAAAAATATTTCCTTCCATTATGAATTACCCCAGTCTCAAGTATTTTGTTATAGTAGCACAAAACAGACTAAGACACATGTTAACAGACATTTGAGTAGATTCCAATTTGAATTATTTTAAGGATAGCTGCTATGAACATTCATGTGAAGGTGTTTGTATGGATGTAGGCTTTCATTTCTCTTAGGTAAATATCTAGGAGTGGAACTGCTTGGACATGGGATGATGTTTAAATTTATAAGACATTGGCTGTTAGTCAAAGTGATTGTACCATTTTTACACTCCCCACCACCAGTGCACAAGAATTGTTGTCAAGAGTTGCTGGAGGTGTTTTTGTGTGTATGTGTGTTGGGGGGGTTAACTTTAGCCATCCTAGTAGGTATTCTCACTATAATTTTAATTTGCAACTACCTGATATTTGGCATCTGTCATGTGTTGAATTGTGTCCTCAAAAAGATTTGTCCAAGTCCTTTCTCCCAGTACCTGTGAAGGTGACTTTATTTGGAAATGAAGTCAGCCTGTATTTCTTTTGGTGCTAAGTTCAACGACTGACATCCTTAAAAGAAGGCAATGTAGATATGTTCAGGTATGTGCAAAGAGGGGAATACCATGTGACAGTGGAGGCAGAAATTGCAGCAATGTATACACACACCTGCAAACAGCAGGGCCTGCCAGGGACCATGAGAACCTAGGAGAGGGGCATGGAACACATCCTTCCTAGAGCCTTTCCTGCCAACATCATGCTTTCAGATTTCTAATCTGCAGACCTGTGCTCTTATAGTCATTTAATTTGGAAGGCAGATATAGTTACATATTTATAGCTATATAAATATATATACTTATATAAAACCTGCTGTTTTTATAATTATTTAATTTGGAAAGCAGATATAAATGTGTGTGCACACATACACACACACACAGAGTGTTATTTTCACTATTTTTTTTGTTAGGAAATGTTCATCTTTATCTATGGTAAAATTTCTTCTCCAAAGCCTACTTTTTCTGATATTATAGCTTCTGTAGTTTTGTTATGATTTCTGTATTATAATAACATTTTTAACTTACCCGTGTCTTTATGTTGAAAATGGGTTCTTGTAGTCAGTGAAAAGTTTAAGGTATTGCTTTTAGTACAGCATGATAATCTGCCTTTTCATACACACACACACACACACACACACAGAGAGAGAAAGAGAGAGAGAGAGAGAGAGAGAGAATCTCTCATCTCCTGGTTACTCCCTGAATATTTAAAACAGCTGGGGCTGGACCAGCAGGAAGCCAGGAGCCTGGAACTCAATTCACATCTCTAACATGGGTGGCAGGGACCCAGTCACTTAAACCATTGCTGGCTGCCGCCCAGAATGTAGGTAGTTATTTAAAAAATGGATTTGTAATCTAATTCTGTTGTGATTAGAGAACATAACTCAGTCTATGACCTGTCTTGATGAATTTTTCATAGGTACTTGAAAGTATATTCTGCTTTGGTTGGGTATAGAGTTTTACAAAATATCAATTATTTTAAATTGATTAACAGTACTGACAAAGATTTCTATATTCTTAGTGTTTACTAATGACTTTTTCTTATCAATTACTGAAAAAGGAGTATTGTAACCTAAGAATTTATCTATAGGCTACTTTTCCTTTCAGTTTTCATTCAGTTTTTGTGTTACATATTTTGAAGCTGTGTTATTATATAGCTATAGATTTAAATCATTATGTTGTTTTCACTATTGTTTTTGTTAGGAAATGTTCATCTTTATCTATGGTAAAATTTCTTGTCCAAAGCCTACTTTTCCTGATATTATAGCTTCTGAGTTTTGTTATGATTTTTGTATTATAATAACTTATTTTTAACTTGCCCGTGTCTTTATGTTGAAAATGGGTTCTTGTAGTCAGTGAAAAGTTTAAGGTATTGCTTTTAGTATAGCATGATAATCTGCCTTTTCATTTTCATATTTCTTCTCATTATATTTAATGCGGTTATGAACATAGTTGGTTTTAGATCTACTGCCATGCTATTTGATCTGCTCTTTGTTCCATTTTTTTATCCTTTCACCTTCTGAAGTTAGTGTTTTCCTTTATTCCATTTTATCTCTGCTATTACTTTGTTAGCTATACATTTTAATGTCTACAACTTACATATTTGGTTATTTATTTTGGTTGATGCTTCAGGGTTTGCAACGTGTCTTTCCTTTATCAGTCTTAAGGTGAGTTATTATATCATTTCACATACAAGAAAATTCACATATAAGAAAACAGTGTATCTCTATTTTCCCTTTCCATCTGTTATACTTTGAGGTTATTTCAAAAAGTTTATAGAATTGGATTTAAAGGATAAGTTTATTGGTGGAAAAATTAAAATTAATAAAAAAAATTTTTTTCCCCTCTGGGCAAGACCTTTAATGAGTGGAGCACTACTACTGACAATGTCCAAAATCCCTGTTGGATAAAAGTATCACTTTTGCTGATTTCCACAGGGTTACAGCCATCTGGTGACGGCTCATGGGGACCTCGGTGAACATGCTTGGACACGGCCCGATGTCTCCTTTCCCTGAGAACGTGCAGAAACAGAGATGAAGGAGGGTATTCGAAAGGAAGGGGGTGAGGCTGGCTCAGAACTTGAGGGGAATGACGGGCCAGTACTTGGGCAGCTTCCTGTTGCAGTGCTTGTCGAAGCTCAGCTGCATGGCAGCCTCCATGGCTTGGATCTTGGCGGCACTCTCCCCGTAGAGGAGCTTCATCTCGGCCTGGCGCCGCGCGCCTGGCCTCTCGATCGGAGGCTCTACCGATCGGTGGGTGTTGTAGTAGAGGTCATGGTCGGCGTTCACATAGTCCTCCAGGCGTGCCGCGTCCAGCTGCTGCTGCCGCCGTCGCTCTTCTCTGTGCTTCTCAGTCGTCGCGAAGTACTGGCGCAGCTCCTCGGTGATCTCCATGTTGCTCACGTCGCATTCCACCTCCCCATCCGACTCAGACTCCAGCTCCTCCTCCTCGTCGTCCTCCCCCTCCTCCTCCTCCTCCTCGGACACAGTCTGGTCTTTTCTTATGGACACCTGCATCCTACCGCTGTCATGTGGAAGCCGCCCATACCTTTCACAAGGTGAGTATGTGCAGTGGAAGTCCTCTGAGACCATTGGACGGTCAGAGGAGAGCTGAGGGTACCCAGCCTCACCGTCATATGCGCTTTGGGGCTGAAGCCCAGGAGCAAAGTAACACAGGGAACTGAAATAGGACTCTACTGCCTTCCTGTAGGCATTCTGGTGGCTTCGCATCCAAGCCATGGCTTGATGATAATGTTGCCAGTACCTTGAATATACAGGATGAGAATACCACGAATTGGTGGCTTTCGATGCTGACACCTTCTCCGCCATATCTGATTGTGAAAGTCCAGCTGGGTGCAGAAACTCGTGGGCGCGCTGCTTGCAGATTCCGCGTGGTGAGCGAGCAGAGGCCTATTTTTCGGTGGGGTAACCGAAGGGGAATGGGAAATTAATAAAATTTTTATGGTATAAAATTTTCACAAATTTTTTTGAAGGCCCCTCAAAATAACTCATTAAAAAATTGCACCAAAATAATTTTTTTTGAAAAATCTTGTGTAGTACTGGTGTTGTCTATTTCAAATGTTTGGAAAAGTTTGCTAGTGATGCTATCTGAGTCTGAGGTTTTCTCTGGATAAAAGTTTATCATTATATACTCCATTAGGTTAGGCGTTGTGGTACACTGGGTTAAACCATTGCTTGGGACCCCACATTCCATATTGGGAGTATTGGTTCATATTCCAGCTACTCCGTGCTTCAGTTCAGATTCACTCCTTCTAAGGCATCCTGAGAGGAAGCAGATGATGGCTTAGCTACATGGATTCCTGCCATCCATGCAGGAGACTGGGACAGAGTTCCAGGCTCCCAGCTTCAGCCTGGCCCAGCCTTGGCTGTTGGTGGGCATTTGGGTAGTACAGCAGCGGATGGATGATTCTCTCCTCCCAACCTCTACCTTTTACATAGATGAAACTAAGCATTTAAACATCAACAAAAATAAACTCAAATTATTTAACATATATCAGACTACTCAAGTTTTTTTTCTGATTTCTTATTCTATTTGTTTTGCTAGATTTTGTATTGCATGGGATTTGCCCTTGTATCTAAGTTCTTGAACATATTGACTTAAGCTACTGATAGTATTACTTTATTAACTCTTTAATATCTATAGTGCCTATACTGATTTCTTTCCTTTCCTTATTAATATTGGTATTTATGTCTTTCTACCTTTTCTTCTTGGTTAATTAGATGACTATTGACAATTTATTGACATTTTTCAAGAACCACCTCTTGCTTTCATTGATTTTTCTTTATTGTGTCTTATTTCTGTTTCATTGATTTCTGCTCTTGTCTTTATTATATCCTTCTTTCACTTACTTTGAGTTTAATTTGCTCCTTTTTTATAGCCTCTTAAAGTGAAAAGTTAATAATAAAACTGACTTTAGACCCTGTTTTTCTAATATAGGTATTTAAAGATACATAAGCATTTCTATCTACGTTTTCCTTTAGCTGCATACCACAAATTTGACATAGGTCATTTGTTATTTCTTCTTTGACTTATGTATTATCTGTGAATATTACCCTAGTGTCACTGAAAACATTTTAGCTCTTTTTTGTCTTATGCTTTATTTTGAATCATTTCCATTGCTATGTCTTCACATTTCCTTACCTTTTCTTTGCAGTGTTTAATTTGCAGCTAAACCTTTCCAATGAATTATACATTTCAGATATTATATTTTTCAACATTGAAAGTTCAATTCTTTTATTTATATAAATTTTCACTCTTAACATACAAGGCTTCTAATAAATACATAAGCTTGTTTATAACAGATCTTTTTTTTCTTTTTTGACAGGCAGAGTAAGACAGTGAGAGAGACAGAGAGAAAGCTCTTCCTTCTGTTGGTTCACCCCTCAAATAGACGCTACAGCCGATGCACTGCGCCGATCTGAAGCCAGGAGCCAGGTGCCTCCTCCTGGTCTCCCATGTAGGTACAGGGCCCAAGCACTTGGGCCATCCTCCACTGCTTTCCCGGGCCACAGCAGAGAGCTGGGCTGGAAGAGGAGCAACCCGGACAGAATCCAGCGCCCCAGCTGGAACTAGAACCCGGGGTGCCGGTGCCGCAGGCGGAGGATTAGCCTAGTAAGCAGCAGCACCAGCTTTATAACAGACCTTTTTCAAGTCACTGTTTCCTGAGTATATGATCTCTGCCATTTCTGGGTCTTTTTTACAGATTTTACTTTTTCCAATTATAAGTCACTTTTTTTTGCTTTTTCAAATCTTATATAATCTTGTTTTGGATGATGGCCACGGTAAATGCTTAGTTACTGACTTCTTAGATTTTGTATTCCTCTAAAAAGAGTTGAGATTTGTTTTGGCAGTTACTATGGACCAACTTGAGCAATTATGTTTAAGCTTTGTTACGGCAGGCCAAGAGTAGTCTTGATTCATGGTAAGTTTAACCAATTCATTTAGGGATGGTCCTTGCTGGGTATCTAATGAATTCCTGGGTGTTCACTGTAATCGTTCCATTCTTCCTGCTCAGAATTCTAACTCCTTTGTGAGCTCCAGGAATTGTTCAGTTTAGAAATTCCAAGTTTCCCCTTGTTTATCTGAACAGTGTTTTTTCCCAGGCATTCATAGCTTAGTGCTCAGCTATAGTTACAACAGTACCTTTCAGCATATTACTGGAGCATGTTCTCTGTGTACTAGCCTATTTGAAATTATGTCCAGCAACTTCTAGAAGACTCAGTTTCACTGAACTCTGGTCATTGTCCCCTCAGCTCTAGAGTTTGCCATGTCCTGCTTGATCTCCCCATCCCTACACTGTAATCCAGACAGTCCCCCCAGGCAAAAAGCAAGAGCAGGTATACTTGCAACCTCATATTTTCCCTCATTCTCAGGGATCAAATTCTTGAGCTGTCTATTGTTCGATGTCTAAAACTAACTCTTTCATATATTTTGATCCATTTTCTGGTTATTATTTTTATAGATATTAGTTTATTTATTTGAGGGAGAGTGAGAGAGTGAGCGAGCATGAGTAAGTGAGTGCAAGCACTTCCATTTTCTGATTCATTCACACAAATGGTTCCAGCATCCAGGGCTGGGCCAGGAACCAGGAAATCCATCTGGGTCTACCATGCAGATGGCAGGGGCCCAAGTAGTTAGGGCATCATCTGCTGTCTTCCTAGGCACATAAGTGGGAAGCCAGATCAGAAGCAGAGGAAATGGTACATGCCAGCATTGTACAGTAGTGGCTTAACTTACCATGCCACAACACTGGCCCCAGTTTTCTAGTAATGTACATTGTAAAGGTGAGTCTGATAACAGGAACTCTAATACCTGCAACCGAAGCAGAAGTTCTCAAACGTCTTTTAAGATAAAGGAAAGAACTATTCTTGAATTCAACATTCTATTTAGAATCCAGGTCCTTCCATTCACTAACTTTGATTACTATATGGATAAATTATTTCTCCTTAGCTCAACTTAATCATCTGCAAAACTGGGATTATGGATCCTACCACCCAGGCAGCTGTAAGTGCTCTCTGGTGTAAAATCCCTTCCTTTGTGCTTTCTTTCCTTCTTTCTCTTTCTCTATCCGTCTCTCCTTCCTCCCTTTGCTGTCATAAATATTTTCCAGGGACAGAGCATCAGTAGGAAAAGCCAAGAAAGTCCCTGACTGCTTTGAATTTATCTTCTGGTAAGGATAAATAAGTGAACAAATGAAGAAAATTTTTTTAGATAATGAAAAATTCTATAAAGGAAATAAAAGAGCAACGTAATCAGAGAGTAACTTAGGACACAAAATTTATATAAGGCCATCAAGGAAGTTCTCTTTGAAGAGATGAAAACTGAGTTAAGAACTGAATGAGAAGGAATCCGGAATCTTTCTAACAGAGCAAGAAAATATCCCACACAGAGAAATCGGTAAAAGTACTGAAATGGAAGTGGGAACATTAGTCAGAAAAATTCAAAGGACAATGTGACTGGGGCAAACTGAATGAAACCATCAGTAATGCAAGACAAATGTAGAGGGAAAGCCAGGGACCAATTCACAGGAGTCCTAGAGGTCAAAGCCAAGGATTCAGAACCATGGACAGAGACACTGTAGCTATTTTTGCTTGTGTATTGTTTGTTTCGCAAGCAAAAAAGTGATGACAAAATCAATTTCTGGTTTTTCAAAATTATACCATTTCTCTCATGAAAACTCCCAACAGTGCTGAAATTTTAAAGGCCTATTGGCAAAATGTAAATTGAATTTCACCAACATTTGTTGAGTAGATAGTATTTATCATATGTTTAGGGGAACAAGAGTAGAAGAATGTTCATGGCTGCTAACATGCCAAAATCTTGGTAGGTTAGACCTATGCCACATAACCATCTTTACCATTACTAAGCACAGAAAATCTTTGGTGGGTCGAAACCCGCACTAAGTTTAAAAAACTGATGGTTGCCTCCTCACACCTTCCCTCTCCACTTTATTTTGTGCCAGTCCTCATCAGTAAGAAAGACCTGAGAATTCAATGAAATGAAATCACTTTCTATTTTTCTCACCTGGCACACTGATCTCCCTAACTTGCTACTGATGACTAATCTTGTGATGGGTCAATGACGCTTTAAATTAAAAAGGAAAAGTCATACCTAATTAAATGGATTTTCAGCCTGAGCATTGGTCAGAAGTACATTATCTTCTAGAGGTCAAGGAAGGAGGCGCTGGCTCCCTTCTGAGTATCCTACTCCAAAAACTGAAACTGTAGGTGTCTGCAGTTTCTCTCATTTTTGTTTTAAATATATGTAGTGTTAATCATTGGCCTACTATATTCCTCATACATTTTTAACATGTTAATCTGGTGTGCTGATTTTAAATGTGAATATAGATATTTAAATTAAATAAAAAGTTATGCCAAGGAAAAGGCAAAATTGGAGAAGCAAGAAAAACAATTAGAAGAAGCTATGAGAGAATTTGATGAATACCTGTCAAACTAAAACTGCTTACTAAGTACCACGGTGGCCATAAAGGGTTGTTTTCTTAGGAATTCCTCAACATGCTTGAAATTTTGTTAATTGTCCATATATTTGGATTTCTTCTTTATCATAGACTCAAGTAGTTGTAATTTCCTATCTTGTAATACATTCAATAAATGTTCATTGTGTAAAAATTGAAAATTTTGAAAAGTGTAAAATAGAAAAAGGAAAAATTATCATATTTTGAAAGGTGTAAAAACTGGTTCATATTTTGAGAAGTAGGAAGATGGAAAAATTATCATATTCCAACTACCACCCTTTTAAAGCTTTTCCCTTTGTTTCTAAGTTTTTGTTGTACATATATTTTATAGTTTTGAGATCATTATATATGCATATATAAATATATACTTTTTTGCTGTCAATTTTTTCAATTTGCTTTATAACACAATCTATC